AGTTGCATGCTTGAGTCGCATTGGGTATGCCATGCTTACTTTGCATTTGTGTTTGGAATAGGTGTTACTCCAAACACGAGAAACGAGGGACGTTTCATACTTGAAGTGATGAAACGCGCCTCAATTCTCGGTCGCTAACGCTCTTGATCATACATGATAGAGTTTTAGGCTTTATGTGTTTACTTGTGCATTCATTTCCATATTGAATTGTGCAATTTGGCTCCTCGGCCATCATGTATCGAGATGCGTGATTGGTGGCCCGAGGGTCGAGAACCACACTCCCTTGAGCTTATGTAATGAGAGGGAGGGTGGTTGTGCATACATGCATTGCAAATACTTTGCTATGCCCCTTTCATACTCTCTGTTGCAGCAAACTGAAGTCTGGCAGCAAAAATTGGTCGGCCGACCAGATAAAGTGGCTGGCCAACCACTTTCTGTGTTGAAAACCAGAAAAAGTGGTCGGCAGGTGGTCTCCAATGCCAACAACTGGTCGGCAGCCCTCCTACAGATTCCCAAGATAGAGTTTCAGCCTTCTGGAGTTTTTTGCAGTGTTCTGAGACCAGTTGCAAACAGAAGCAAATCGAGGCATCGCGATGGATTTTCGCACGAGGTGACCGGGCACGCATCCTTCGTCATCCAAGGCAGAGTTGAGGCAGCCTATTTCATATGGTTTACATGCTTATTCAATTACAAACTTAGTTAATTTGTTAATTAGTTAGAGTTGTGTATTAATTAGTTGTAGCTTGTTATTCATTCTGTTGTGTAAATAATTAGTTTAATTAGATTAGCTTAGATTAGCTAGTTGGTTCTGTATTATTCATTTCGACCTCCGTCGAGAGGGCATAACTGTTGTAAATAAGTGTGCGTGTGTGTGATGCATGTCTTCCAACCCCCATTTCTTTCTCCATTTTATTTACCAACTTACGATGGTTAGTTTTAGGGCATGTTTCAATTAGCATCCTTATGCTCGCATGTTTGCATCCATTCATTTGTCTTGCATGCACCGGGCTCGGCGCATCATACTAACTGCATTGTATTTCCATTTCCGTTTGAATACATGTATCAAATTGCATTTCACATGACATTTTAGAACAGTCGAGCCTATCTTAATTGCATTTTGTATGTGTTGCATTAGGCATTCTTGACATAGCTAGGATCATGCATTGATTTCTAATATAGCTTTTGTTTTGGCTCGGAGTACTCGGTAAGTGTTCATGCTTTAGCATCCTTGTATGTGTGTGAGTGACTGCCATGATAGCATGCTTGCCATGAGGCTAACTGCTTATGTGATATAACTGCCTGAATGCCTGTGGGTGAAGGTTAGATTACTTGAATTGGAGCAATTCAATGATTGCGAGTTTTAAGCCTACTTGAGAATGGCAAATCACCATGTTTTCTAAGCCCACTTAAGGGTGGCAAAATCCGCATGTTAGCCTACTTGCGAGTAGCAAACCGCCTTAAAAAACAAACATGAGATGTTTTGTTCCAACTTAGGCGATCCAATCTATACTTGTATGCTGTGCGCACCACATAGAAATTCTAGAGTAATAACCAGAATAAGAGCACATGTGTTTTCAAAAACAAGATATCATGTTAGTAAAGGCCGATCTTTGATTGGGTGAGCGGGGGTGCTCATTGCATGACCTTCCCCTCTCGTACCTAAGTTCCCGAGCCGAGGCAACTTTGGTGATGACAGACACGTGGCCTTAGGCACAAGTCAGGGTTTCCTAAATTTATCATAAATAAAATATTTAGGTGGCGACTCTGTATCTGGCAAAACAGTCCATGTTTAGCACTTCTTTCTAAAAATTAGTTTTTCAAAACGATTTGCCTAATTTGGACTCTTTGGTGATTTATCAATCTTGCATTGCACTTTGCAAGATCAAATTAAGAACCGTGGCATAGAATCCGAACTGTAGTGAGCCCAATGAACAAAACGGGATTTTTCCGGGACGTTTAGGCACGTCTACACAAGCCGATGATGGAGACGAGATGTGTGATAGTGGTTAGCATGCTGACGGAAAAAAGAACATAAACTAGGAGAAGAAATGAAGGGACAGGATTACTGAGATTTCTTAGAGAGAGAACATATAGAATCTCTTGATCTCATTTTAGTTATGAATTCATCATAAAAATTCTATGAGTATATTATTTTTCTTAAAAGAATACATTGTCATATTATTTTTTATTTTTTTTTGCAATTTTATATAAAAATTAGGGTGAATTATACTAACAGTTCTTATAGTTTAGGGTTCTTGTCACTTTAGTTTCTGACTTTTTAATTGTAACACATTTGATCATGAATTTTGAATCTTATTTTAAATAAGGACAACTGAAGATACCATTGCTCAATTTCAAAGGCAAAGTCGTTAATTTGATAAAATATAAACTAATTTGACAAAAATAAATGTCAAAAAAATATTTTAAAATTTTAAAAAATTATTTCTACCCAGTAAAGACAAAATTATGTAAAATTGATAAATCTTTTAGATATTTATTTATTTTACCAAATTAATTTTTATTATATATTTGGATGATGATTATGTAATGGGTGGTTGTTAGGCTTTTAATGTGTAATCAATATATATGAAATATTTTTAGTTTTGGATTTTTTGATTTAATAGATTAGTTTAATAATGATATTAAAGTTGTCGCCATATTTAATTTTTCGAAAAATAAAAACTAATTTAATGGAAACAAAAACAACCACATATTACATGATAATAATACAAACACATAATAAAAATTAATTTGATAAAAATAAATAAATAAATAAATATCTAAAAAAATTATTAATTTTACATAATTTTATCTTTAATAGGTAGAAATAATTTTTAAAAATTCAAAAATATTTTTTTGACATTTATTTTTGTCAAATTAAAACCACCCGTGGGCGATTTTAGTGCACACTCTACTAATCTTTTGTTCATCTGAAGATAAATTCACTCTGTTATTTGCTCGTTTACCTTCTGAAACATTATTGGACATCCTGTTTGCACATGTTTTTTGCATATCAGCATGCTGTTTTTTTTATAACTTTATTTATTTATTATGTGCTCCCCCCACAACAAAAACCACCCGTGGGCGATTTTAGTGCACACTCTACTAATCTTTTGTTCATCTGAAGATAAATTCACTCTGTTATTTGCTCGTTTACCTTCTGAAACATTATTGGACATCCTGTTTGCACATGTTTTTTGCATATCAGCATGCTGTTTTTTTTATAACTTTATTTATTTATTATGTGCTCCCCCCACAACAAAAACCACCCGTGGGCGATTTTAGTGCACACTCTACTAATCTTTTGTTCATCTGAAGATAAATTCACTCTGTTATTTGCTCGTTTACCTTCTGAAACATTATTGGACATCCTGTTTGCACATGTTTTTTGCATATCAGCATGCTGTTTTTTTTATAACTTTATTTATTTATTATGTGCTCCCCCCACAACAAAAACCACCCGTGGGCGATTTTAGTGCACACTCTACTAATCTTTTGTTCATCTGAAGATAAATTCACTCTGTTATTTGCTCGTTTACCTTCTGAAACATTATTGGACATCCTGTTTGCACATGTTTTTTGCATATCAGCATGCTGTTTTTTTTATAACTTTATTTATTTATTATGTGCTCCCCCCACAACAAAAACCACCCGTGGGCGATTTTAGTGCACACTCTACTAATCTTTTGTTCATCTGAAGATAAATTCACTCTGTTATTTGCTCGTTTACCTTCTGAAACATTATTGGACATCCTGTTTGCACATGTTTTTTGCATATCAGCATGCTGTTTTTTTTATAACTTTATTTATTTATTATGTGCTCCCCCCACAACAAAAACCACCCGTGGGCGATTTTAGTGCACACTCTACTAATCTTTTGTTCATCTGAAGATAAATTCACTCTGTTATTTGCTCGTTTACCTTCTGAAACATTATTGGACATCCTGTTTGCACATGTTTTTTGCATATCAGCATGCTGTTTTTTTTATAACTTTATTTATTTATTATGTGCTCCCCCCACAACAAAAACCACCCGTGGGCGATTTTAGTGCACACTCTACTAATCTTTTGTTCATCTGAAGATAAATTCACTCTGTTATTTGCTCGTTTACCTTCTGAAACATTATTGGACATCCTGTTTGCACATGTTTTTTGCATATCAGCATGCTGTTTTTTTTATAACTTTATTTATTTATTATGTGCTCCCCCCACAACAAAAACCACCCGTGGGCGATTTTAGTGCACACTCTACTAATCTTTTGTTCATCTGAAGATAAATTCACTCTGTTATTTGCTCGTTTACCTTCTGAAACATTATTGGACATCCTGTTTGCACATGTTTTTTGCATATCAGCATGCTGTTTTTTTTATAACTTTATTTATTTATTATGTGCTCCCCCCACAACAAAAACCACCCGTGGGCGATTTTAGTGCACACTCTACTAATCTTTTGTTCATCTGAAGATAAATTCACTCTGTTATTTGCTCGTTTACCTTCTGAAACATTATTGGACATCCTGTTTGCACATGTTTTTTGCATATCAGCATGCTGTTTTTTTTATAACTTTATTTATTTATTATGTGCTCCCCCCACAACAAAAACCACCCGTGGGCGATTTTAGTGCACACTCTACTAATCTTTTGTTCATCTGAAGATAAATTCACTCTGTTATTTGCTCGTTTACCTTCTGAAACATTATTGGACATCCTGTTTGCACATGTTTTTTGCATATCAGCATGCTGTTTTTTTTATAACTTTATTTATTTATTATGTGCTCCCCCCACAACAAAAACCACCCGTGGGCGATTTTAGTGCACACTCTACTAATCTTTTGTTCATCTGAAGATAAATTCACTCTGTTATTTGCTCGTTTACCTTCTGAAACATTATTGGACATCCTGTTTGCACATGTTTTTTGCATATCAGCATGCTGTTTTTTTTATAACTTTATTTATTTATTATGTGCTCCCCCCACAACAAAAACCACCCGTGGGCGATTTTAGTGCACACTCTACTAATCTTTTGTTCATCTGAAGATAAATTCACTCTGTTATTTGCTCGTTTACCTTCTGAAACATTATTGGACATCCTGTTTGCACATGTTTTTTGCATATCAGCATGCTGTTTTTTTTATAACTTTATTTATTTATTATGTGCTTTTAATCTGGTGGTCACACTGTATGCTCTGTTTGTTATTTATGATCATTTAGTGTAAGCTTGCTGTTCTGATAGGTACATGGTCCTGGAGCTGACATAGATACGTTATGTGTTGGGCCATCCTATGTGAATAGGGAGGTAAATTATGAATTTGGTGATTTCTATTAACGTGTTATGAAGTTGGATTGTATTACTTGTATCTTCATTTAATACTTTGTTGTCTTTATCAGGTAGATTTCTTCTTTATACTACATGACATTCTGGCTGAGATGGAAGAAGTTACAGAACTGCAACCAGTTCCAAATGCTCATGTGCCAGTTATGAAACTTAAGTTCAATGGAGTATCAATTGATCTTCTTTATGCAAGTATATCCCTTTTGGTTGTCCCAGAAGTAAGTGTTTAATCAAATTATGTTTAATGTGGTGGCCTATGAAGCACGGGTACTCCAAAAATAGTGCCGTACACGCACCGGGTACTTACCGGGTGCGGGTACGCGTACCGGTACGGCTGCACGCGTACCGGGTACGGCAAAAAGTAGCTGGGTACGTCTACCTCTGTCGGGTACGCCATGGGTACGGCATGGGTACGCCTTTGGTGCGTTTTGGGTACGGCGGGGCAGAAATCAAATTTTCTGGAGAATTGAGGGGCACCGGAGCAATATTAAGAAAAATTAAAAAAAAAAAAAGATATTTACGAAATTACGAATGAATTTCTTTTGCCCTAATGTCATCACTCTTGCCCTAATCTGTCATCAGTCGAGCAAAGAGGAGAGGCGACACAGCACGAAGAGGCGACGCGACGGCGACCCACCATTCCCTTCCGGCGACGGCGACGCAAGAGTTCCGGTGAGTCTTCTTCTTCTTCGTCTTCATCTTCTTCTTCGCCTTCTTCGTAGCCTTCTTCTTCTCTATTTAATCTTCCTTCCACCCTCTTCTGTCATCTTCTTCGTTTCTTCTTCTTCATCTTTTTTTTTTTTTTTTTTTTTTTTTTTTTTTATGATGGTGTCCTTGAGTGGAGGGAGACAAAGTGAGTGAAATTCGGTGGAAAGAAGAGAGAAATCAGGATTATAAAATAAAATAAAGAAAAAAAAAAAATAGTGGGATCACATGGGTTCATTGAACAGTGAAGGGAAGAAATTTGAAGAACCGAAGCTTCAACAAAATAGCTGTGGCTTGTTGAATGGAACAAGCTGTTGCTCTGGTTCTGACAGAGTTTCTTGTTGTGCAAACAAAACGGTGGAAGAGAACACAAGTGTTGGAGAGAAGAATATGAGAGATGGCACTAGAACTAAGGGACTTGGCAGACTATAGCCATAGAAACAGTGGCATCTAAGGGCATGGGTCACAGCTTTGGCAGAAGGTCCCCTCCACGCTGGGATTCTGGATTCGACTTTGCTTGATGGTTCAACGGGGGCTGAAGAGGAAGAAGGGGGAAACAGGGATTGAGAAGAAGACTGTATGATCTCGGTGTTAAAGTCGAATCTGCGAAGAGAAGGGACTCGAAGAGGTTCGGGGGATTGAGAAAAACAGTCCCATCTACACCGGTGATGACGGGTCGGACATAGAAGCAGCGGTATTTGCGGAGAAGCATGACCAAGAAACCCCCTTTGCCTGGGAATTTCGAGAAATCTGTGGCCGACGGTGATCGGAAAACTGTTGCTAGAAAGAGGTCGGAAAAGAATGTGGGTGTGCTGATTGTTGCGACAATCGTGGTGGCAAAACTGACATCTGCATTCGGAATTTCGAGATCTGGAAAACGGCGGCTCCCTCCGGTGGTGAAAACGCGGTGGCCGGTGGTGGGAGGGCTGGTCCGATTCTTGGGAGGACCGGTGGTGATGTGGAGGGAGGAGTATCCGAAGCAGGGGAGTGTGTTCACCTTGAAGTTGTTGAACAAGAACGTCACTTTCTTCATAGGACCGGAGGTATCTGCTCATTTCTTCAAGGCTTCGGAGTCCGATCTCAGGTATGTGTAGAGGTCCGGCGGGCGGCCAAGGCGAGGCTGCCGCCCGCCGGTGAAGCAGAATTACTAGCTTCTTTAAGCTCGCTCTGATACCATGTAAGAATTTATGTAATTTATGTATTATTGATTTATTGATAGATACTTGATTCTGTTACAATTGATTGATTATATAGATGTAGGTTAGGTGGTGGTAGGTGAGGAGTAGGTGAGTGTGTGGTAGGTGATGGTAAGTGTGTGGTAGGTGATGGTAAATTCTAACAGCCACCACCAAAACTTCAATCCAGGCAGCCATAGAAACAAACTATGACAGAGCACAAGAGCTAAAGGCTTTTGATGACACCAAAATTGGTGTCAAAGGACTTGTTGATGCTGGGATTGCCACAGTCCCAAAAATTTTCATTCAACCACCAGACAATCTCAACAAAACCACCAATCCAAACAATATCCAGTTCAATTTTCCAATCATAGACCTTACTGGCATTGACAAAGATCCGATCCCGCGCAGGGAGGTCGTCGATGAAATCCGCGAGGCTGTGGAGAATTGGGGGTTCTTCCAGGTGGTGAACCATGGTGTTCCAGAGAGTGTGTTGGAGGAGATGAAGAAAGGTGTTCACAGGTTTTATGAGCAGGACAGTGAGGTGAGAAAAGAGTGGTATACTAGAGATGTGAAGAAAGCTGCGGTGTATAATGTCAGAAGTTGTTATAAAATTCTTGATAAAATCAGAATTTTTTCCATAAGTTTAGCCTATTTCCGGTTTAAGAAATAAAAAATTCTGGTTTATGTTCTTTTTCCATATAAAAAATTCTGGTTTATATTTTTAAATTCTGGTTTATTTTTTAAATTCTGGTTTATATTCTGGTTTAAGAAATAGAATATTATATCCAGATTTTTTTTTTCTAAGTTTGGTCTATTTTTTATTTCTTAATATTAACAATATGTTCAAATATATTAAATTCCGGTTTAAGAAATAGAATATTAACAATATGTTCAAATATATTAAATTCCCGTTTTTGTATCTGTTTAAATTATGAATCCAACAGATTCAAATCTGTTTGAATTCAAAACCAACAGGTTTCATACCTGTTCAATTCAAAACCAGTAGCCACCTTTACATCTATAAATAGACCAGCCTCCTATTTGGATTTTATACCGAATTTTCGTACTCCATCCTCTGTTATAAATCTCTGTATTTTGTTGCATTTAATTTCTAAAAGAAAGAGTAGAAACACTTAGTGTGTTCGTTGTAGTGCTACTATTGTTTGTAGTAGATCATTTCATTTTGGGAGATAGACGTCCAAATTCTGAAAGCACCGTGGAGAGGACGAATCTGTCTTAAGGACACAGTGTCAAATACTGAACTTGATCAGATAATTATTTAAAGAAATTAATCAAGTAAGTTGTTTAATTTATTATTCTGTTTTATTTATTTAAATCAGATTTTAATTTTATTTTTGTAACAAAATAAAATCTGTTTTTATTTATTTATTTTTATTTCAAGTTTGATTTTTGTAATCAAACAAATTCTCTCATTTTTTTTATTTCTTAATATTCTAATTGTTATTTTGTACACAATAGAATTTAATCATTTTAAATACAGTGAAGATTATCCAACATATAATAGTAATTTTGATTTGTTTAGTGCACTAGCTGCTAATTGGAGGGACACTTTCTATTGTAGTATGGCTCCTAAACCCCCAAATTCAGAGGAATTGCCTCGTCCTTGCAGCTATGTTATGAATGCATGTTTCGTTGAGTTTTCAACAATTAGGTTCGTGAAAAAAAAAAAAAAAAAAAATCATTATTTTATATGATTTTCTCTTCCATGAGGGTGAATATATTTGGAAAAATAGTTGGTAAACTCAAGTTGAGATTTGCATTAGGCATTAGGTCTAATGACTAAACTTATTTGGTGAAAAGGATACGCGCCTAAAAAGTTGTGAAAAATTGGTCTGAAAAGTCGTCACCAACTAATTGACAGTGGTTGGCATTGGCAACTAGTGGACAGTGGTCAACTGTGGCTGGCAACGACAATTGGTGACAGTGAATTGAATAGATAGGTAAATATATAGGTGCTATCTGTACACATAGTAATATATTTGAACATATTGTTATACAGATGGATAACATTGTGTACAAATAGTGAGATATTTGAATAGATGTATAGACAAGTAAGTTTTTAATAGGTGTCCTTTTGGTTAAATAATATTCTTTTAAGGGAAATACTATGATGCACACTTTTCAAAAAAATGAGCACTATATGCACTTTGGCCCTGTTTGGTACAGTTTTTTTTCAGCTTATTTCAGCTTTCAGTTTAATTTAAGCTATTTTGATGTGTTTGGTTTAACTTAACAATGCAGCTTATAGCTTTTTGTAAGTCAGAAATCAGCTTATTCTTTGAGTGGGGCAGGAAAAGCTTAATTTATAAGTCAGAAATCAGCTGATGTTCATAGTTATGAGCTATAAGCTGTTAAGGCATAAGCTATAAGCACTTTCCCACAACTCTACCAAACATGGCCTTTATAACTAAAAAGAAAAATAACATAATTTTAATTTTTTGATTTATAACTGAAAAAAAAAATCATAACAAAACACAATATGAGATATAACTAAAGAACTCATAAGTCATAATTAGAATAATGTCATAACTAAAGAAGAAAATTGATCATAACTAAAAAAAAAAATGACACAACTAGAGGTGCGTATGGTACCTACTTTTTAAAAGTATGTATATTAAAATTTCCCATTTTTTAGTCTAAAAAGATTTAAGTTTGAGCTTAGTCCAAGAGATTCAAAAATAAATTGCTGATTTGGGTGCCCAATATGTTTTTCTAAAACTAATTTATAATTTATAATTAAATTTTCCCCCCCTCAAAACTCAAGTAAACAAACTCTCATAAACTATTTTAACTCGTAGATGTGACCATTGAGTGGATCTTACCATGTTATTTTTGTGTATCTCATTTTAGATAATAAAGTTTTATTACTTCTTGTTATGATTACGAGCAGCAGCAGTTTGGCATTATTTGACTCTTTATAGTTTTTGTTTTGAAATTTGTGGCTGAGTCCAAACCACCTCAAAGACATTGGTTGCGCCGAGGGGCTCGCCGTACTGTGCCACTACTACCTGGCATGCCCTCAGCCGGAGCTCACTGTCGGCACCACCAAACAGCAGGATTACATTGGAGGCCTTCAAGTTCTCCACCAAAATCACTGGGTTGATGTCCCTCCTACCCCTGGAGCTCTTGTGGTCAATATTGGAGATCTCCTACAGGCAAGTCTCTCATTCATTAACCATATTTTGTTTCAACCAAAGTCCTTAATTTAGGATCTATCATCAAAAATTCAATCTCAGTGTACTTTTAATCACATGATGTGACAAGAATTTCGAGACAGAATAATCTCATGACATGATCTAAAAGAGTTTCTAAATCGTCCGATCACTTCACTCAAATTAGTGTTAATTTATCAACACTGCTGCATACTCCCAGTGGGGGTCGCACCCCCAGTGAGGTGTCGCGCCCCCACTGGCTGAAATCCAAAAAAAAAAAATAAAAATAAAAAAAAAAAAACAGTTTTTTTTTTGTCCAATTATGGAGTGCCACCTCACTGGGGGTCGACCCCAGTGGGTGTATGAGGCATTTTTCTTAATTTATAATCTTCCGGACTTGGTTGTTGTTTGGAAGAGCCATCCTACGATCAAATCAGTGTTTGATCGAGAAGGCACAGAATATAAGAATAAAATGATTGGTTGTTATGTTTTTGTCTTGCTACTTTGCCTTCCTTTTGAAGTGATAAGAACGCTCTCTTATGCTGAAATCTAACCATCTATCCTTCTTGCAGACATCGAGTGGTTTGACACTGATTTGTCTTTTTATCCTCTAATTGGTTATCTTGTGCTTCTTCTATCTGATCTGCCTTGATTGACTCTTTTGGTATTTCTTCTCCGATCTGTTACTGGGCTGACGCCAAGTCTTTGGGCCTTCATAAGGCCTCTACATTACGTTTCCCTTCATACTTCTATTTTGGATCGTTTCTAAATCATGATTTTTTACATCCCCCACAATTATTTCTTTTTTTGATCTTTTTATTTATTTATAATTTATTGTGCAACTAAAAAATATAAAATTAAAATTATTGGCCATAATTCTTCAATGCAAAGCCAACTCGATAAATAAACGGGTCAAAATCTCAAATTGGCTCTATGATATGAACCAAAATATTTAGCCAAAAACTTAGAAAAAGCTTGGCCAATCTAGATCGACCTCCGAGCTAGTAGTCACCCTTAATTGTGATAAAGTAATTTAGAGACAGGAGATCTCATGTCCATTAAAACTCTGGCAACAAGTTATGCTGGCTTTTTTGGCTTTCGAAAGTTAATTTTGTAATTGTGAGCGTGCCAGCAAGGATCAATCAGTCCTTATAGAAATTTAATTGCCAATCAATTATCAGATGATTGTGTTTTAGTTCTTTCAGCCTCAATGAAGAGGACTTTTACTGGTGGCTTTGCTTAGGAGGAATAAATTGACAATGATTAAATAAAGAACAATTGCAGTATTTCATTAAGTACGAAAGACTTACAATGATCCAATTCAGCCTCGTAGAGGTTTACAGCAACAATCTACTTGAAAATACTCTTATGAACGAAATGCAGTGCAGGAATTTGAAGTACAGAAATGTAAAGAACAGGAAATGTAAAAACTAGAAAAGAAATAAAGTAGAATAAAACTGATTTTTTGGATATGGGTCTGGGGCTTTTTCTGGGGCCTTCTTTGCTATTTATATTTCTCAAGGAGAACCATCGAACTGCACTTCTAACCGTTGAACTGCTCCTCCATGATCGCTGATCATGTTGCCTTATAGTTAGCTCCATTATGCCAATACCTACAGTTAGGCTTCCCTCTTGATTTCGAATTTAAATATGAGTAACCGTTGAAGCCACATCACTTTGCATCTCTTTGCTGATCCAGTACTACGCAGATCTTATGAAAACCAATATTAACTATCATGTGTACGATCACGATCGAAGGTTTAAGTTGTCTTCCCGTATTACCCTCAACCTGCCACGTGTTGAATTATAATTGGCTTATACAAAATATGTAGCCAACATTACCCTCCGCACTAATATACCCAATACTTGGTGATATTAGTGGATTAAGGTTTTTTATCCACATCTTAGAACGTGCATGGGCTTTGCATTCTTCCAAAAATGCAATTGTCATTCATCATTTGCATTAAATTCTCTTTTAACCCTTTGAACATCCCCACAATCTTAGTATTCGAACAGTCTGATACATCTTTTATGGCCAAATCAATTCTCTCTTCTATTGATCGATGACACGAAGAGTCATCTGATGATGTTGTTCTTCCTCAAAAGAAGCTTCATGCATTGATTAGCCACCTTTACCCACATTCTTATATTCAAGTCATGGAAGCTTTTGCAAACTATCAACCTTTGGATTACGCACTCGCTACTCATAATTCTCTAACCCAAAACTTTGCAAAAATGGACATTGGAAGCTCTTCTTCTAATCCACAACCTTTTGCATCGGATAAGGCTGTGGCTTCTTCTTCCTCTAGGGCTTCTGGTTGGAGAAGTTGATCAGAATCTGAGGCATGCGAGTTAAAGGAGCGAGTTAATCATCACTTTTTCGAGTTCACTGATCCTCTAGAATTCCCTTTTGATGCTCGAAGTTCGGTGGTTTATCCTTACGTGCCCATCGACCGCCGACGCAGTTTAGAGGACAATCTGCTTGTAGCATGGTATACATCCTCCATGCCTACAAAGATAGTATAAGGTAACCGACGCTCAGAAGAGGCACAAGGGTATAACCCATCGTTCTTAACCCAGAAGGCGAAGCTTTGCTCTTCTGACTGGCTTGATTGTGTTAATGCCTCTCAGTTTCCTCCTTCTTTCGAAATGGAAGTTTCTATACCTCCTCCTCCGCAAAATCCCCGCTGGATAGAGAGATTGAGGCTTATCCTCTCTGCGGACAAGGTTTTTCCTCCTTATATGCCTCCACATCCTCCTACTCCTGCTCAACGAAAGCAAACCCAACTTCTCCTTGCGCCCTTTTCTCATTTGACTTTCAATGTTCTTGAGGACGATGTTTCTCTCAAGAACCTTCGATGGGCTTGTGATATTATGACTTGGGGTCACGTCCTCAACCCCATCGCCCAAGTAGAACTCCACATGTTTTTGGACCAACTCCCGTTGCTTCTCCATTGGCACTAGACTTCTTTGGCCACCACCCAATCTTTGAACCAACTTTCATCCCTTCGAGTTCATACCCAGTACGAAGCAGAGAACCTCATCGAAGAATACAACGACTTCAAGAATAAAGACTCTGCGTACTGGGATGACTTAGATATGGACGAGTTGGAACAAGGGTTAAAAGAAACAACGTTCGAAATAAAGGCTGAAGAACTCTTTTATCAAGTGAGAGCACATCAACTTCAGCAGCCAAGCTTGGAGAAAATAAAGGATAGAATAAAAAAAGGACAGAAATTTATTGACCATAGTTGGACTAAATTCCATGATGTTGTTATTTATTCTATTCCTTACTTTTATGAACTCGAATTTGTACCCAAAGAGGGCCTTTTGATGTGATTACTTTTGTTTTAATACCGGTAAGACTTTTCTCTTTATTTGGAATGGTTTGACTTTATCTCTGTTTGTCTTTATAAGCAATTTTAGGGCTTTGAACTCAACAATCTCATTCTTTGAATCTGTATTCAATCATCTCAAATGAAACACTGGAAAACCAACATGAACTTTTCCAATTCATAGAATACAGTTAACAACTTTTGCTGATTTCTATGTAGAATAAGTGCTTCGAATTTAACAATCTTGCCCTTTAAAGGTTGTTTTAATCATATCCAACATATGGTCATATGGTTAGTACGATCAATCAGTTTTAAATTGATCATTTTTGCTTTGAACAACAGTCCATACTTTCAAAAATATGGAAGCCCCTCTCGAGGGCTGCACTGTTTTATTTCGAAAAAGCAATCTCTTCTGTATATTACCAGACTAACTATTGGTTTTGATACTTCGAACAACAATTTTCATCCTTAAGGGATCTCAAGTATTGCTTCGAAGGATTTATTCTCATTAAGAAACCATAAAACATGTTCTTAATCCTTTTGAAGTAAACAAATATCCAAACATTCTTTCACCGTGAGGCATGGAATGTGCTTCGAAGTAAGCTTTCGACATTCGAAGCCGTTTGTCATTTCATTTTGGCGCCAAACATTGGCCTCGAAGCCAAATATTCTATTTTGAAGCTGATATTAGTATTTGAGATGTGTTTTCCTCTAGAATTTATCAATATTGAGGGAAACTCTTTGCATCCGTACTTGTAGTACTTCTTTACGAATTCCACGATATATTTTCAAACACAAAGGTTTTAAAACCCTTTTATTTCGTGTTTTGAATTCACCTATCATATAAACCCTTCGTCTCTACTAACTTTCCTTTTCCTCCTACTTTCTCCTGACTTTGTATCAATGGCTTCTTCTTCTTTGAAAATACTGGTTATGGAACGTGCGAGTCCGTCTGTGACCTTGAAAAAGATTATTGCTAAAGAGTGTGAGAAGTATAAGGCCGGTGAGAAAAGCGCCATTGACGGATGCATCTTCATTCCCCACCGTCATGAGCAGCAAGAATACGTGCTTGGGCCCATCTTCAAAGAGATTCCTATTGAGCTTCCAGCTTTATATCCACGTCTAGAAGACCATTGTCTCCTTTACGAAGGTGGTCTTGACTGGGGAAACTGGAGGATGAACCGCCCTCATCGCTGCTGGCCCACGGTGAGACTAGAGTGGCAAGAATGGTACGATCGGATTGTCCCTGATAGGACTCTGGACCTTCAAGAGCTCTGCCTTTTCGATGCCCTCCAATTATCCAGGTTCACTATCTTAGAGGACCCTTTCTTAATACCTGCTGCCCTTTGCTTTTGGAATTCTGTCTTTAATTTCTTTCAATTCAGGTGTGGGATGATGGCCCCTACTGTGCTTGATATCTGCCATCTATTAGGATTGTCCCCCACTGGAACCCCCTTTGGACCAGATTATCCTGACCTACCAACCTCTTTTTTCCTCCCCTCTCTTAACTCATCCTATAGTGACTTTGTCAGGGCTGAGAATAAAAGGGAGGGCCTTGTGACTGATGGGAAATTCTTTTGTTTCATATTGTATTGGCTTTGCAAATTCCTTTTCTGCACATCTTCTCAAAGAATTATGCCTGAATTCGCCCTTCTTGCCAAAGCCCTTGTTTTACAGAAAAAGATGGCTTTAGCTCCATACGTTCTAGGTCACGTATATAGAGCATGTTCTCTTTTTTGTGAGAAACCTTTAGATGCCAATCAAAGAGGTCCATTTTGGATACTTCAGCTTTGGCTTTTTGCATATTTCACT